CATACATACATACATACATACATACATACATACATACATACATACATACATACATACATACATACATACATACATACATACATACATACATACATACATACATACATACATACATACATACATACATACATACATACATACATACATACATACATACATACATACATACATACATACATACATATATATATATATATATATATATATATATATATATATATATATATATATATATATATATATATATATATATATATATATATATATATATATATATATAAGGTTGGCGCTCAATTAAAAATGGGGCCAGCGTCGATTGGGTCATTAACGTCTCTGTCTTCACATGATTATCCCTAAATTATAACTCGTGACAGAGTAAACGGACGGAGGAGTTATCCCACTTAGATATATTTAATTACAATGTTGCTGGGATGTGTAATTACCCTTAAGGCCTGCTTGAAGGGATGCTTTAGAGCAACCACAAATTACAAGCATTTAAGGTTCTTGTGTAGTCATTGATCACGTGATTGTGTGGGTTAAAGGTTAAATTCACTGGTTGATGTCAGTTGGATCGAAGATTTAATTTGACATTGACAGGGTTGGATAGAATAGTGTACAGTGGTGTTGGCAGGTTGGGCTGTTATATGGTTGACACATTGATACGCTTGCCCAATTATAGTATAGTACAGTAAATCAAAATAATTCACGATAGGTTGACAACCCTGGTTACGCAACTGATGGTCTAGGTACCAGTCAAACTCAGAATCTTGGCTGACAGTGCGATGTTGTAACTATATTGTCAACAACTTATCTTTTGATTTCAAACCTGTCTATGGGAAAGTGAGGTAGAGTTCACCTGTTTCTGTTACCTCGGCGTATAAAGGGATACTTGGTCAGCACAATGCTCAGCCGTCTTTATTTTCCCTAACACGAGTTAGGTACCCATTAGAGGTGGGTGGACTCACGGACGTTCTACTGAATTAAACCTGGATTAGACTTTCTTGTTAGCAGTCTAGTTCTCCACCGCTAGGCCACGCCTCCCTTGGTGTTTAATCCATTTTAAAATCTGGATTTATAAAGGAGGGGCCAGAGCGGGCAATGTGTCTCTATTCAGGTCATAATTACACCTACATCTACATTTACACCTACACCTACACATACACCACCTACTCCTACACCTTATTTTGAATAAATAAAAAAGAATGAAGGAACAATTGCCCCGAGATTGTTGTATGGAAAATTTGAAACAAAAAAAAATAATAATAATAACAAAATAATTTAGAACAAAATGTTTGATCTATTTTCGTATTACATTTGTTAGTACATACAAATATAATCTGTTTTGAAAAGGTACATTAAACAAACATGTTTAACTGAGCTTTTCTGTCAACAAGTTCTCCGTCAGGTTGCCGCAATTGCTGGATTCAAAACGCATTGGAAGTAGCACGCTGAACATCTTGTGTCGTAAAACTCCAATTTTCTGCCCGCAATGGTCTGTGTAGCTTTTCAAGTAACAAGCGGAATACTGTTCAACCACTCTAAACATAGATAAGAACAATAATAAAATAAACATGAAAAAACTTTATAGCAACAAGCTAATAGCCTTCACTAGATCGACCGCCCCACAGCTCACAAGACTGGTCTCCATTTCTGGTATTGAATATAGTAATCTATTGAACGATTTAATTTTGTTCTCCCCTTTGTTTCAAAGCCGTTTAATTATTTTTAATGACTAATTGAGCACCTAATTAAATTAAAAAAATAGATAGACTTTTATTGTCATCAAAGTGAAACGTATATGGAAAGTTTGAACGAATTCGCTGCATTAGAAGTGGGTCAAAATTAAGTTACAAGATTTGCCACAAACCCACAAACTACAAACAAACAAACAAACACACAAACAGACGTTGCGAACTAAATAAAAGCTTGTAATTATAAAAGCTGGTAAAAGGCAATTAATCCATTGAAACATTTCTTGTTTTAAATATAACATTTAAAAAAAAACCCTAATAAACTTGATTGTAATATACACAATATTACCGTATTCAATAACAAAAACTACAATTTTATTATTATTAAATTATGTTTGCGGTTATTAATTATGGTAATAAATAAAAACTAATTACTTGCAATCAACGCCAGTAGAACCACTTGTGATAGCACTATCACGCTGGGCGTTGAGAATGTACTCACAAATGATAACAGCTTGATACACCTGATCCCTTATAGTCTGGTCTGTAAAACATTCGGAAAGAACTACAGCAAGAAAATCTGAAAGAGAAAACGCAATAATTTTACGATAAAATATAACGTCCCTCGTCTTGTTTAAGACACATGGGGCAGATAAAGTAGAGCGCCTACATTTATTATAAACATTTCTCTGGGCTAATACAAATGAGGAAAAAAAACAAGATGCTGCAGGCCCATCTTGAGAGTCTATGCAAATTCTTGTTGACCTTGGATGATGACCTTGGATGATGTAAACAAAGATGATCTAAAACTTCAATGGTGTCTTATTATCACAACACAAACAATCAGCTCGATTTGACATATAATAGTTGCTTAGGCTTTAATTCTTATTACAAGAGCGGTTTAGAAGCTATTTATAGAGTCGAATAGTTTACCATCTTTCTCCATTGTGGAACATAGGTGCTCTGTGACAAGAACCATTTCTTTTACAATATTCACAATTGTTTTGTTTTTGCATTCATCTTTTGATGCTGCATAACAGGAGGTGAAGTTGGTTCCTTTTCTGGAATGAGATACATGCAAAGTCAAATTGTTTTATAAATATTTATTTTAAATACTGCACGAAATGAAGTTCTATAATTAGAAAATTAACTTAAAATTAATTCCAAGCTTAACACTTTGTTTAGACGTTGACTACATTCATGGAGTAATGTGGTTGGCTGGTAGAGTACACGACGGTGAACTGAAAGATCAAGGTCTGACACCAGACCCTAATTATTGGTATCTGTCTTGTTTTTATTTTTTTTTCTTAAATTTAAAGTATAGACAGGTGGATGTGCTGTAGAATTTCCTTTATTCTGCAGTGTTTCAGAATTCACGAGGTCATTAATTTACAACATGATGATAATGATAATGGTTATACTTAGGATGATGATGGTGGTGATGATGTTAGCGATGATGCTTCTGCTGCTGATTATGATGATAATGGTGATGATGACGTAGACAATGGAAAAATAGGATATGATGACGATGATGGTGATGATGGTGGTGGTGGTGATGATGTTAACGATGATGCTTTTGCTGCTGATTATGATGATAATAGTGATGATGACGTAGATAATGTTAAAAAAATGATGATGATGATAATAATGATAACGATGACGATGACAATGGTAGTGATGCTTAGGAAGAAGATGGTGATCATGGTAGTGGTGATGATGATGATTTTAATGATGCTGATGATGTTGATTATGATGATAATGATGACGACGATGCTGCAAAAAAAGGCTTCATATAAGTTAGCTTGAGAACAAAAAAACTGGTGACTTACTGACAGTACCAAGTGTATGTTGCCTCGTCGGTAACCCTAGTCGGACAACCAGGATAAATTTCAAGACAAGTCCACAAACGATCACAAGCTTTGTTCGGGTTGGTGTATTGGCATTCTAGAATTCAAATATATGGTTAATTTATTTATGACGTCCACTAGGAATAAAGGGGAGGGGTCTTGAAAAGTCGATTTTACTCTACTGATGGAAGACGTCTGGTTCGAGTCTTATTAACACCCACACGTCTATATATCATAATAATTATGTGTTACAACATACAATATCATCTATGGAAAAACTGTTGGTTAGAATCTAAGCCCGCTACATGTAGGCTGTTGACTCCGATTTCCGCCTACTTTTCTTTTTGGATTTGTTGCCAAGAACAAACTACAAGGCAACAGTTGTTTGATTTTGGAGTTGTCTTTCCTCGATGAAAAACAAACAATTGTCTTTAAAAAAAAACATTTTAACAACTGATTTAGTAAACTACTGACCTGCGACAATGTAACATGCAGTGAGAGCCAAAACGAATTTAAACATTTTGGAATTGTGAAGCAGCGAAATCTGACCAGGAGTAAATGTCTTGTGATACTAGTTACGCTTTCTTGTCCCACTTATATAAGAAGTCTAAACCCTTAGGCATGCGCACTAAAGACCGTCAAATCACAAAGACGTGAAATTTAGGCATACACAGGGAGAGAGATAGAGACAGGACAGTATAGTTGGGCACATGGAGAGAACTGGAGAGAAAGCAGAACCCATCAACTTATACAAAAACGGAATTAATGTGTATATTGACCGCTTTTTTGCAAATATTTAACAGGAAGTTATAAATTATATAATATATAAATATAAAGATATAAAAAGTAAATAATGTCTCCAAAGAGCTCGTGCGCCCCCCCCCCCACCCTCCAACCCCTAAAAAACATTTTGGAGAGAAACTCACCAAGTACCACCTACAGAGGCGTAGCGAAGGGGGGGCAGGGGGTACATATGTCCCCGGGCGCCGACCTTAGGGGGCGCCAAAATGGGTTGGCAAAACAAATTAAAATATTATTTTAGCTGAATTTTTGCTTTATAAATAAATTAAAAAATATATGAGGGGGGTGCAAATCGAAAGTTCGAGGGGCGGGGGGTGCAAATCGAAAATTGAAAGGTTGATCCCGAGGGGGGCGCCAAATTGAAAGTTTGTCCCCGGGCGCCGGGAAGGGTCGCTACGCCTCTGACCACCTAGACCCCCTTAGGTCGACACATGTAGAGAGTACATGATTGTCTGAAGAACTGTAAACTATGTCACTCAGATATTTAAAACAACATCGCTTTAAATCTATGCCAAGTGTCTCGGCTAAATATCAAAATATTTTTTAAAGTAGATTTTGATGCTGACAAAATATCTTTATAATTTACTTAATTAGCCAGATATGACATACTTGCGACTTTTATACTTAAAAATGCAATTTATAATTTCTACATTAGTTCATTTTTTTTATCCTCCACACTGTAACCACTATAATTGTAACTAATGATAGCTCGCCTGCTTCTAACCACTGGAAGATAATGACATAATTACCAGTTAACTATCGTAGATGTGCACGTTTTCAGATTAAGCAGCTGCAACAACAGCCTGTTCTATAGACAATAATATTCCCTTTACAAGAGACGGAAGGTGGTATTTGGAGGGGGGGGGGATTCGTGGAATAAAGTTGGGGTAACCGGGATGCAATGTGGATGGGTGGTGGGGGGGGGGGGTAGTTGACAAGCATCGATAATGTGCGCGGGTATTCGGGATAACTGGTTGCAGAGGAAAAGGGCGGATGAAAGTATTTTATGTTGTGTTGTTGAGCTTTAAATAGACTTGTTTTCGCCTCAACTTGTGACTTGTTAGTTATTAGTCTAGTTCCTATGTTCTTTGCTTTGGTATGCCTGGGAAGATGTTATTGTTTAAGACTAGATCAGTCCAAACCTAAAGGTAAACACACTTTCAAACTAACGGTCCACAGAGCAGATAAAATACAGTTGTAATACCTTGACCTCGGCATATTTTGAGAATCGTGTGGTCAACATCATGCCCAGTCATTATTTACTTTCACGTTTAGAGTCATGTACTCACCAGAGCTGGGCGGACTCAGGAAAGTCCTCATCCCTCGAGCACGAGCATAGAACTCGCCTATGGGAAGGCGAATGTGTCGTCTACCACATCAGCAACCTCTTCCGAATAGCAAGTCTACGTATTCTAAATACGTAAAATAGTTTACAAATCTCATTGGTTCAATTCTATGGAACCTTTCTAAATAAAAAAAAAAAACATGCTGGCATTCAATTCGAAAAATTGCACAGATGCACTTTTTAACATGGTCATCCACACAACAGGCCGCAGTAAATAGCTCTAATGGCTGATATTAGACCAATTAACGGTTGTAGTAGTCCTATATAAGCTGGGTCATCACAATAGAACGGTACCACACGTGATTTGCCACCTAGCCAGATTTGGTTGCTTCACATTTCCAACATGCTCCGACTGGTCTTGGTTTTATCTCTTTGTCTCGTCCTCGTTGGTAAGTAGTTTGTTGTCGTCTGCAAGTAAATTCATACCCCACCTTCATCCACCAATATAAATTACTACCAAAAAATAAATAAATCAGAAACCAATAAAAGTGACGTCACACTAGAGTCCATATTTTAACGATGAACCATCCTGTTTAAAAGATGACCGTACCATGCACCCCCCAAACATTTATGTAAGATAGCTCGCTCCCCCACCCCTTATCGCCATTAACTATAAATCCTACCGGATTTTTTTAAAAATGTAGTGTATTTCGTTCGGATACAAATTGAAAAGAATGCTACGTCAGATTTTATTAACCACCGCCGTTTGATAGGACGGAGTGGCCTAGCGGTAGATAGTTAGCCTGCTACCCCGAAAGTCTCAAGTTCGAGTCCGGGTTCAAATCAGTAGACTTTCCCTTTAATTCATACCATGATATTGGCGTTAATGTCTCACTCCCCTTGGTATTTCGTTCAGTTACTGACACCCATTTTTTTTTATTTTTTTTTAAATCTTAGATATACAATTATCATTTCGATTAGCCATGCATCATCCATTATAAGTTCTTAAAAAAACATTTCAAATACAACACAGGTATTAAATTCAAACAGTTTTTAAGTTTTTAAAGATGTCAGTTGTTAACATTTTCAAGCCTGAAACTCTTCCAGAATGTAACCATGTCAAGCGAAGCGATGGCTGTGAAGGTCTGCAGGCCTGCCTTAGTCCTATCGAGGCTGTCACGGTGCCCAATATCGGCAGACTGGGTGATGGTGGGGCGTATCAAGAATTTTGTCAGTAAGTTCTACGGTGTACTTTGTTCTGAAAAAAAATTATCATTATAAGGACGATGTTAGTTATTTTTTTCTAATCCGTAGTCTATTTCTTCATATCCTTTAAACTCATTTTAACTATTTAATTTTTTGTTTTGAGAATTAAGAAATTCCTTTTTAACAGATATCAAAGTTTTTTAATCGACATCGTAACCCTAAACATATTTCCCAAACCGTCACAATTGAGCCCAAAATATATCTACACCGTAATCCTAAAATGAACACTAATCCTAACATATTAACGGTTACTATTAATAACAACAACCTTGTAGATTAAAAAAAATCTTTGAAAAGAATGTTAAACACATTTTAAAATTAATAATAAAAAGAGTGTAAAGTACATAGGATTGGGGCGAGGTCTGATATTCTTACATGGGGTGTAGCTGAGTGTGGTATTCATGTTTGGGATGTTGGCATAGTGATATTCTCACATGGGGTGTTGACTGAGTGGGATTTTCTTACATAGAAAGTTGGCTAAGTGTGATATTCTTACATAAATTTAGACTATGAGCACGATAATAGTCTAACATTTAAATCCATGGAAGTATGTCAACGACAAACAAACTTATTTTTACATACAGAATTGAGCTTTATATATTAGACTAGCCGTCCCGGCCAGGCCCTGCTCTGGCTTCTGTGAAAAACCTTTCTGTTAAAGACCATTACCTGTGTGTTTAGTAATCACCATGAACCCGGCATTGCCCACCCAAACCACAACCAACCAAAACCAAAACAACAAAACGCAAACATAACGCTAACACAATTACAAATACAAACGAAAACAAAAACCTAACAACAAACCCAACCACAACCACAAACACCAATACAAACACAAAGAAAAAACAAACAAAAAAGCAAACGAAAACAAAAACCTAACAACAAACCCAACCACAACCACAAACACCAATACCAACCAATAACAACACACACAAAAAAACGAAAAAGCAAACGCAAACAAACCAAATCCAAACGCAAAACCAACCAAAAACACAAATACAATCCCAAAGAAAAAAACACAAACAAAAACGAAAAAAGAAAGAACAAAAACGAACCAAATCAAACCGCAACCACTAACGCAAACCCAACCTAAAAACAAAGAAAACACTAACGCGAACATAAACGCAAAGTGCTCACATTCTAGCCCGGGGCGGAATCGCCTGTTTTAGCTTAATAAACGACTATAGTACCCCAACTTATTCATAGTCTTTTGCACTCACTTAAACGAACGCGCCTGTTTCAATTTAATGAACAATTATAATACTCCAAGCTAATCCGTAAAATACCTACAACATTTGCACTTGATCAATACCCGCTAATTATGTAATTTTTTTTTCCCAACACCAAAACAAAGTAATAAAAAGTAAATTCTTTTCCACTAATGTAATGGTTTTATATAGGGAACTAATCGGGAAGTAAGTGCTATAGGACTAAATAAAGACATAATTAGAATTTTTTGTAAAAGATGATATTTTTTTAAACTTGTGTTTAATGAACATGCCGAAAATTATTGCTTTCAGTTTGATAAATGAAAATTATTTCCCAAAACTTTCAATATTAATTTTTTAACTCATAAATTTAGACCATAAGGACTTTAATTATCTAACACTTAAATCCATCGAAGTGTGTCAACGACAAACTTATTACATACAGAATTGAGCTTTATATATTAGATTAATAAGAAAAAAAATTGCGCGTCAAATTTTTACATTTGATTAACCCTAGTTTACAGGTGACAGATATTTGTGTTGACGTGTTGGTTAGTCATGAAACTCATTTCAGAATGTAACACTATCAAAAGGAGTGGCGGCTGTGACAAGATTTTTTCTTGCATCAACCCGCTGAACAATTTAGACCCAGAAGACTTCAAATATTTCGGCAATGCTGCATTCTATGATCAGTTCTGTCAGTAAGTGTTCAAAGATTGGTGAATATGTGGTTAATATTAAACCTGCAGCATGAAGTATTTGGGCACTAAGTTCGGTTGGCATTGGACAATATTTGGTCCCTTTTTTTTCAGCAGTGGTCAATATTTTATTAATTAATGAGAATGGTGGTTAAATGGACAAAATGTTAATAGATTATTTAAACAACAAGTTATCAGTCACTCCTCTATAAGTAAAGTAATGTTAAGTTTTCTTTTTAGCCTGAAGGCCCACTGGGACAGGTCAAATAAATTGTACTTGTTTCTGTGACCTTAGCATATAAAGGCATAGTGTGGTCAGCACCATGCCCAGACGCCTTTACTTTCCCTAACGTAAGTCAGGTACCCATCAGAACTGGGCGGACTCAGAGACGCGCTACGACTCTAGCAACAGTCTCGAACTCTGCCATTCTACCACGCGGTTCCATAGTCATTATAAATGGCTTAGCAAATAGTCAACGATTGATCAGTAAGCTGTTAGTATTTTTACTATATTTTAGCAAGTGCTTTTGAGCACTATATTTGACTTAGTACAGCCAATTGGGAAATGCAAGCTAATACCGCCATCCTTCGCACTTGCATATTTGCATCTTTAAGTTTAAACAGCTTATACAAAATATTTTAAAATCAGTAATAAGTGCAACTATAGTTTGTATACCTAGTTTAATATTCTAATGCACAGTTTTTTTCTCTAGACTTATTTCCTCCGAAGGAGGGGGGGGGGGGGAGGGGTACACTTGAAATGTCGGGAAGTTGGCGAACTAAATTTCCCAGGGGGAGGGGGGGGGCTGCTGACACTGATAAAAGTATAATATAATTTCTATAATTTGTATATAAATTTTATTTCGTTCGTGGAAGGGGGGGGGGGAGACTGCGCCCACCACTAAAAGATGGCTGAAAGAAACTCTGTTCTTATGTATGATTCACATCATGGCCTACGCAAAAATAAAAATAAAAACTTAAAGTAGTTTAGTAAGTTCAAGCGTTAGATTTCTATTCAAGGTAATTTTTAATGCACAGGATATCATATGTTTCTGTGAGGCAAAAAATAACCTCCCGGAATAGAGAGCGTAGTATAGTATATGTATAGTTGATTGATAACACCAAAAGAACCTTAATACTTCCAGGAAAAGCCAGACGTTCAGTAGCTGCTTCAGGGACGCCAGAGACGAGTGCGACCATCAATGGGTACTCAACAACTACGAGAGCATGGTCGGTGTGGCTGATTTTCTGTGCACTGATGAAAGCAGAGATGGTAGGTTCACGCTAGTAAATTCAAGAATAATTTTCTTAAAAATGAATTATTGTAAATCTCAACTTTAAAAAATTTAGAGTCACGCGTTCATTAAGTGAAACTAATTAAATATTTTTAGCTAAGCTTCTTCTTCTTCTTCGTTCTTAATTATTAGTGTTGAAGGGGATCGAGATTTATCTGCCAGTGGGTTTGAACTCGAGACTTTGCTAAACAATAATTGGGTGTTGTGATGTTTTGAACTATCAATATAATAAACGTGCTCTAAAATTCATTAAAAATGAACTTAATATAGGCATTTACAAAAACACTGAACATACGTAAACTGTCATTAAGACGATCGTTATGATCTTATACAATAGACTTTAAGTTCTGGATTCACTGCTATTAAAATAAACAAATTATTTCTATTTGAAATCTTAAGCAAATAATTTATTGCCGGTCGGCGGTGCTTCAATCATAAGGAGAATATGCCTTCCGTTTCTTCAGTGGCTGAAACAATATCAAAATAATCTCTATTTGAGGGAAGAGTGGTAGGCTAGGCCTCCATTACACACCAGAAATATCAGAATAAGCTCTATTTGGGGGAGGAGTGGTAGGGTAAGTCTAAATTTCCCCCCAGAACCACCAATAAATATGCAGTATGTAAAAACAATAATGTTCATTTATCAGTGCTACGTTATGATTATTCCCCCCCCCCTATTTTGGATTGATGGGGAGGAGGGGGGGGTGTTCTATTTAACATCGTGAATCCGCTTCTAGCTAAAACCCAGTGTGGTGTTCTTTACTTTTGTACTTCAGACGTTTCCTTCCTGATCAACTTGGAATGTGCCAGTAGTGAGCTAAAAATAGTTGAGTTAATGCAGGGTTTTGAAGGCTGCCGCTTCATCTTTGACAAGGAGATGAATCTCGATTTTTGTCCGTAAGTTTGTTGGTTCTCAAAAAGTTTCAAATACTCAAGGGGCTTTCAATTTTTTACTCATTATTTAGATATAATGAAAAATTGTTATTTCTTTCTATTGATGGATTTTTAAAAAATACCTTCTGTGTGTTCAGAAATAATATTTTTTCTTTCTCCCAAACATGTTTCTTCTGACTATTTGTGTATTAAGCCATTTTTGTGTGTTTCACTTTAAGAGGTTGTCCATAAATGAGGAGGGGGGGGGGTCCGTAATTTTGTGACGGTGTGTGATGAGGGGGAGGGACGTCACACTTTTGCATCATAAAAAAGCAGAAAACGAATTTTTTAGACGTTATTTTGCGTTTTAGAAAACTGTTTTAATAAATTGTAATAGGAATTGATTAAAATACTCAATTTTGACAGAGTTCAGACAAGGTTTTAGAAAAATATCGATGTCATAAAAAGTTGAACTGCAATTTTGAGGGGGGTTGTAGGTTGAGGTGTGACGTCATTTTAGGGGGGGGGGGGATCTGGCTTTTTCTGACGACGTGTGACAGAGGGGAGGGGGGGGGGGGTAAAAATCGTCAAAAAAAGCGTGACGTCATTTATGGATGACATTTAAGTAGGTATTGTTCCCTCTTTAATTTACGTAAGTAGGTAGATTTTTTAAAATTAAATATTTAATGTGTATTACTATTTTTTTAAAAATAATTTCTCCCCCCCCCCACCCGTGTTTAGATTGATGGATCAGTTTTCCGGTTGCCTGGTCAACAAAGCCACAGAAAATTGCGGAAGTCGGGCCGGCGGTTTCGTTAGCCGCCTGTTTAATGTGGCGGCTGCAGCAGAGCTTGGCGAGTTGGGTTGTGGCGCCCAGGCGAGGAATGCGCGTGAGTTTTTATGCTACAACAGTTTTTTTTAATTATGTCTATTTTACCTTTATAAAATTATTTTTAGCGTGAGTTTAAACTATTTCTAAAATAATTACCTGCTGTAACTTTTAATTTGTAATCAACGTGCAGTTTAATATAGGATTTATGTTTTGTATATTTTATCTGCAGGTCGCAACATTGATACCATCGTTCCATTACTGGCTAAGGCAGCCAAACTTAGACGTTGAACAACTGATCCGGCAATGTTCTAAAGTTTCTATTTTACACGCAAGGATTTTTTTTCTAAACTTCACTTTTTAAAAATAACATGTACTGGTCATTTCATTAAAATTTCAACATACAGAAAAAACTAATTTTTTCAGACTCATTGTTGTTTACACTATTGCAATACTTTGTTTAAACTTCGTTTACGCGAGAGTAAAAAGGCAAATACGTTTACTCTGTCTTATCCGGAAATTGTCGCATTGACCACATGGACAAATATATATATATATATATATATATATATATATATATATATATATATATATATATATATATATATATATATATATATAAGGTTGGCGCTCAATTATAAATGGGGCCAGTGTCGATTGGGTCATTAACGTCTCTGTCTTCACATGATTATCCCTAAATTATAACTCGTGACAGAGTAAACGGACGGAGGAGTTATCCCACTTAGATCTATTTAATTACAATATTGGTGGGATGTTTAATTACCCTTAAGGCCTGATTGAAGGGAAGCTTTAAAGCAGCCACAAATTACAAGCATTTAAGGTTCTTGTGTAGTAATTGATCACGTGATTGTGTAGGTCAAAGGTTAAATCCACTGGTTGATGTCAGGTGGGACGAAGATTTAATTAGACATTGAAAGGGTTGGATAGAATAGTGTACAGTGGTGTTGGTTGGTTGGGCTGTTATAGGGTTGACACGTTGATACGCTTGACCAATCATAGTATAGTACAGTAAATCAAAATAATTCACGATAGGTTGACAACCCTAGTTACGCAACTGATGGTCTAGGTACCAGTCAAACTCAGACTCATGGTTGTAGTGCGATGTTGTAGCTATATTGTCAACAACTTGTCTTTTGATTTCAAACCTGTCTATGGGAAAGTGAGGTAGTTCACATCTTTCTGTTACCTCGGCGTATAAAGGGATACTTGGTCAGCACTATGCTCATCCGCCTTTACTTTCCCTAACACAACTTAGGTACCCATAAGAGCTGGGTGGACTCACGGACGTTCTACTGACTTAAACCTGGATTAGACTTTCTGGTTAGCAGTCTAGTGCTCCACCGCTAGGCCACGCCTCCCGTGGTGTTTAATGTATTTTAAAATCTGGATTAATAAAGGAGGCGCCAGAGCTGGCAATGTGTCTCTATTCAGGTCATAATTACACCTCCATCTACACCTACATTTACACCTACACCTACACATACACCTACACATACACCACCTACTCCTACACCTTTATTTTGAATAAATAAAAAAGAATGAAGTAACTATTACGAGGTTGTTGTATGGAAAATTTGAAACAAAAAAAAATAATAATAATAACAAAATAATTTAGAACAAAATGTTTGATCTATTTTCGTATTACATTTGTTAGTACATACAAATATAATCTGTTTTGAAAAGGTACATTAAACAAACATGTTTAACTGAGCTTTTCTGTCAACAAGTTCTCCGTCAGGTTGCCGCAATTGCTGGATTCAAAACGCATTGGAAGTAGCACGCTGAACATCTTGTGTCGTAAAACTCCAATTTTCTGCCCGCAATGGTCTGTGTAGCTTTTCAAGTAACAAGCGGAATACTGTTCAACCACTCTAAACATAGATAAGAACAATAATAAAATAAACATGAAAAAACTTTATAGCAACAAGCTAATAGCCTTCACTAGATCGACCGCCCCACAGCTCACAAGACTGGTCTCCATTTCTGGTATTGAATATAGTAATCTATTGAACGATTTAATTTTGTTCTCCCCTTTGTTTCAAAGCCGTTTAATTATTTTTAATGACTAATTGAGCACCTAATTAAATTAAAAAAATAGATAGACTTTTATTGTCATCAAAGTGAAACGTATATGGAAAGTTTGAACGAATTCGCTGCATTAGAAGTGGGTCAAAATTAAGTTACAAGATTTGCCACAAACCCACAAACTACAAACAAACAAACAAACACACAAACAGACGTTGCGAACTAAATAAAAGCTTGTAATTATAAAAGCTGGTAAAAGGCAATTAATCCATTGAAAAATTTCTTGTTTTAAATATAACATTTAAAAAAAAAACCCAATAAACTTGATTGTAATATACACAATATTACCGTATTCAATAACAAAAACTACAATTTTATTATTATTAAATTATGTTTGCGGTTATTAATTATGGTAATAAATAAAAACTAATTACTTGCAATCAACGCCAGTAGAACCACTTGTGATAGCACTATCACGCTGGGCGTTGAGAATGTACTCACAAATGATAACAGCTTGATACACCTGATCCCTTATAGTCTGGTCTGTAAAACATTCGGAAAGAACTACAGCAAGAAAATCTGAAAGAGAAAACGCAATAATTTTACGATAAAATATAACGTCCCTCGTCTTGTTTAAGACACATGGGGCAGATAAAGTAGAGCGCCTACATTTATTATAAACATTTCTCTGGGCTAATACAAATGAGGAAAAAAAACAAGATGCTGCAGGCCCATCTTGAGAGTCTATGCAAATTCTTGTTGACCTTGGATGATGACCTTGGATGATGTAAACAAAGATGATCTAAAACTTCAATGGTGTCTTATTATCACAACACAAACAATCAGCTCGATTTGACATATAATAGTTGCTTAGGCTTTAATTCTTATTACAAGAGCGGTTTAGAAGCTATTTATAGAGTCGAATAGTTTACCATCTTTCTCCATTGTGAAACATAGGTGCTCTGTGACAAGAACCATTTCTTTTACAATATTCACAATTGTTTTGTTTTTGCATTCATCTTTTTCTAATGCTGCAAAACAGGAGGTGAAGTTGGTTCCTTTTCTGGAATGAGATACATGCAAAGTCAAATTGTTTTATAAATATTTATTTTAAATACTGCACGAAATGAAGTTCTATAATTAGAAAATTAACTTAAAATTAATTCCAAGCTTAACACTTTGTTTAGACGTTGACTACATTCATGGAGTAATGTGGTTGGCTGGTAGAGTACACGACGGTGAACTGAAAGATCAAGGTCTGACACCAGACCCTAATTATTGGTATCTGTCTTGTTTTTATTTTTTTTCTTAAATTTAAAGTATAGACAGGTGGATGTGCTGTAGAATTTCCTTTATTCTGCAGTGTTTCAGAATTCACGAGGTCATTAATTTACAACATGATGATAATGATAATGGTTATACTTAGGATGATGATGGTGGTGATGATGTTAGCGATGATGCTTCTGCTGCTGATTATGATGATAATGGTGATGATGACGTAGACAATGGAAAAATAGGATATGATGACGATGATGGTGATGATGGTGGTGGTGGTGATGATGTTAACGATGATGCTTTTGCTGCTGATTATGATGATAATAGTGATGATGACGTAGATAATGTTAAAAAAATGATGATGATGATAATAATGATAACGATGACGATGACAATGGTAGTGATGCTTAGGAAGAAGATGGTGATCATGGTAGTGGTGATGATGATGATTTTAATGATGCTGATGATGTTGATTATGATGATAATGATGACGACGATGCTGCAAAAAAAGGCTTCATATAAGTTAGCTTGAGAACAAAAAAACTGGTGACTTACTGACAGTACCAAGTGTATGTTGCCTCGTCGGTAACCCTAGTCGGACAACCAGGATAAATTTCAAGACAAGTCCACAAACGATCACACGCTTTGTTTGGGTTGGTGTATTGGCATTCTAGAATTCAAATATAGGGTTCATTTATTTATGACGCCCACTAGGAATAAAGGGGAGGGGTCTTGAAAAGGTCGATTTTACTCTACTGATGGAAGACGTCTGGTTCGAGTCTTATTAACACCCACACGTCTATATATCATAATAATTATGTGTTACAACATACAATATCATCTATGGAAAAACTGTTGGTTAGAATCTAAGCCCGCGACATGTAGGCTGTTGACTCCGATTTCCGCCTACTTTTCTTTTTGGATTTGTTGCCAAGAACAAACTACAAGGCAACAGTTGTTTGATTTTGGAGTTGTCTCTCCTCGATGAAAAACAAACAATTGTCTTAAAAAAACATTTTAACAACTGATTTAGTAAACTACTGACCTGCGACAATGTAACATGCAGTGAGAGCTAAAACGAATTTAAACATTTTGGAATTGTAAAGCAGCGAAATCTGACTATGACTAAGAGTAAATGTCTTGTGATATGAGTTATGCTATCTTGTCCCACTTTTATAAGAAGTCTAAACCATTAGACATGCGCACTAAAGACCGTCACATCACAAAGACGTGAACTTAAGGCATACACAGGGAGAGAGATGGAGAGAAAGACAGGGCAGTATAGTTGGGCAGACACAGAGAGAGGGCTGGAGAGATAGCACAGGGCAGTATAGTTGGGCAGACACAGGGAGGGAGAAAGAGAGAAAACTCAGGACAGTATAGTCGGGCACATGGAGAGAACTGGAGAGAAAGCAGAACATATCAACTTATACAAAAACGGAATTAATGTATTTTTGACCGCACTTTTGCAAATATTTAACAAGAAGTTATAAATTATATAATATATAAATGTAAATATAAAGATATAAAAAGTAAATAATGTCTCCAAAGAGCTCGTGCGCCCCCCACCCCCTTAAAAAACATTTTGGAGAGAAACTCACCAAGTACCACCTAGACCCCCTTAGGTCGACATGTGTACATGATTGCCTGAAGAACTGTAAAATATGTCACTCTGATATTAAAACAACATCGCTTTAAATATATGCAAAGTGTCTCAGCTAAATATCAAAATATTTTTTTAAGTAGATTTTGATGCTGACAAAATATCTTTATAATTTACTTAATTAACCAGTTTGACACACTTGCGACTACTATACTTAAAAATGCATTTTAAAATTTCTACATTAGTTTATTTTTTTTATCCTCCACACTATAACCACTATAATTGTAACTAATGATGGCTCGCCTGCTTCTAACCACTGGAAGATAATGACATAATTACCAGTTAACTATCGTAGATGTGCACGTTTTCAGATTAAGCAGCTGCAACAACAGTCTGTTCTATAGACAATAATATTCCCTTTACAAGAGACGGAAGGTGGTATTTGGAGGGGGGGGGGGATTCGTGGAATAAAGTTGGGGTAACCGGGATGCAATGTGGATGGGTGGTGGGGGGGGGGGGTAGTTGACAAGCATTGATAATGTGCGCGGATATTCGGGATAACTGGTTGCAGAGGAAAAGGGCGGATGAAAGTATTTTATTTTGTGTTGTGTGCTTTTTCTATAGTGAGCTTTAAATAGACTTGTTTTCGCCTCAACTTGTGACTTGTTAGTTATTAGTTTAGTTCCTATGTTCTTTGCTTTGGTATGCCTGGAAAGCTGTTATTGTTTAAGACTAGATCAGTCCAAACCTAAAGGTAAACACACTTGCCAACTAACGGTCCACAGAGCATATGAAATACAGTTGTTACCTTGACCTCGGCATATTTTGGGAATCGTGTGGTCAACATCATGCCCAGTCATTATTTACTTTCCCGTTTAGAGTCATGTACTCACCAGAGCTGGGCGAACCCAGGAGCGTCCTCATCCCTCGAGCACGAACATAGAACTCTCCTATGGGACGGCGAATATGTCCTCTAGCACATCAGCAAGCTGTTCCGAATATCACGTCTATGCACTCTATGCACATATGTCACTTGTTCAATCCTATGGAACCCTCCTAAATAAAAAAAACAAAAAATGCTGGCATTCAATTCGAGAAATTGCACAGATGCACTTTTTAACATGGTCATCTACACAGCAGGTCGCCGTAAATAGCTCTAATTGCTGACATTAGACCAATTAACGTCTGTAGTCGTCCTATATAAGCTGGGCCATCACAATAGAACGGTACCACACGTGTTTAGCCACCTAGCTAGATTTGGTTGCTTCACATTTCCAACATGCTCCGACTGGTCTTGGTTTTATCTCTTTGTCTCGTCATCGTTGGTAAGTAGTTTGTTGTCGTCTGCGAGTAAATTCATACCCCCACCACTATAAATTACCAAAAAAAAAAAAATCAGAAACCAATTAAAGTGACGTCACACTGTTTAAAAGGGTACCTTGCATACCCAATATGTAAGTAAAATGGCCCCCTCCCCCAAAACCCCTAATCGCAATTAACTATGAATCCTAACGTATTTTTTCAAATGTAGTGTATTTCGTTCAGATATAAATGGAAAAGAATGCTACGTCACATTTTATTTAACCTCGCCGTTTGATAGGACGGAGTGGCCTAGCGGTAGATGACTTGACTGCTAACCCAAAAGTCTCGAGTTCGAGACCGGGTTCAAATCACTAGACCGTCCCATTAATTCATACCATGATATTAGCGTTAAATGTCTCTCTCCTCACAGTGTTTCGGACAATTTGTATTTTTTTTAAATCTTAGATATACACTTATCCTCTCGATTAGCCAGGCATCTTCCTTTTAAGTTCTTAAGAAACGTTTGAAATACAACACATGCATTAAATAGATACAGTTAAGTTTTTAAAGATGTCAGTTGTTGACATTTTCAAGCCTGAAACTATTCCAGAATGTATCCAGGTCAAGCGTAGCGAGGGCTGTGAAAGTCTGCAGGCCTGCCTGAGTCCTATCGACGGTGTCACGGTGCCCAATATCGGCAGACTGGGTGAAGATGGGGCGTATCAAGAATTTTGTCAGTAAGTTCTACGTTGTACTATGTTCTGAAAAAAAAATTATCTTTATAAGGACGGAGTTAGTTATTTTTTCTAAGCCGTAGTCTATTTCTTCATATTCTTTAAACTTATTTTAACTATTTAATTTTTGTTTTGAGAATTAAGAAATTCCTTTTTAACAGATATCAAAGTTATTTTTATCGACATTGTAACCCTAAACATATTTCCCAAACCGTCACAATTGAGCCCAAAATATATCTACACCGTAATCCTAAAATGAACACTAATCCTAACATATTAACGGTTACTATTAAAAACAGCAAGCGGGTGGATACATTTTTTTAAGAGAATGTTAAACACATTTTAATAATTAATAATAAAAAGAGTGTAAAGTGTAAAGTAAATAGGATTGGGGCGAGGTGTGATATTCTCACATGGGTTGTAGGTTGAGTGTGATATTCATGTTTGGGATGTTGGCTTAGTGATATTCTTACACGGGGTGTTGGCTCAGTGGGATTTTCTTACATAGAAAGTTGGCTAAGTGTGATATTGTTACATAGGGTGTTGGTTAAGTGTGATATTCGTACATGGGGTGTTATTTAAGTGTGATATTCTCACACGGAATGTTGGCTAAGTGTGATATTCGTACATGGCGTGTTGGCTAAGTATGATAATCGTACTTGGGATGTTGTTTGAGTGTGAAGTTCTCACATGGGGTGTTGGATTAGTATAATATTCTTAAACAGGGTATTAGATGAGTTACATTGTTTCCACCAGGAAAGCCTCTACCTTCAGCGTGTGTTACCAAGACGAAAATGCCGGATGTGATCGTCAAAGTGTGAGGGACTCCATCAAGAGCATGGTGGACGTGGCAGAGTTTCTCTGTACAGAAGAAGCCAGAAGTGGTAAAACAACATATTAGTTACCTCGATAGCATTTTAACTAAAATCTACCTTTATTTTTTTATTTCACGTAGGGCCTGCTTCATCCATGTCAAACAAAATTCATTTTCGAAATAACCTTTCGTATATTCCCGACTTATGTCATTCATGAAAGACGCCAAGCAGCGGAGTCTAAACACTCTCGTACCTTCACAAAAAGCCAAATTTTCTAATTCCTCCCCCCACTCGCTTCTTCACTAGGAATTCGTCAAATTTCAGAGCCCTCCCCTTGTTATTGGATGGACAAAGCCTACGGAAATAAGCCCCCCCCCTCCCCCCCCCCCCCCAAAAAAAATAAGCAGGCTGAATTCGGAGTCAACGGCCTATTTGGCAAATAATACTTAACTGTGTTCAGGAAATCCCGTACAAAATTACAGTTAAGAACGAAGAAGAAGAAGAGACGTAAAAAATCCCCATTGGTGGGCGACATCATTTATGAACCCCCCCCCCCCCACACACACACACACCCCACCCCACATGTATTTAATTCGTGTCTTACTCTGTTTTAATCAAATTAGTGTGTCATAATTATATTGTGTTGCTGTTCGTTAGAAAACTAAATGATCTTTTTCAACATCCTTCATCCCGCCCTTCTCCCTCACCCCTACCCAGAAATTCTAGCCGTGTCTAGCTCTGATTGTGCCAGCAACGAGCTGAAAGTTCTCCAGCTACAGCTGAACTTAGAAGGATGTGAATAAACATTCGAGAACGAGGTCCAGCTAGCCTTTATTCGCGCCATGATGTCTGGTCAAGAGATGACCGACTTTTGCCAGTAAGTTTGAGCTTGTGTTAATTTTTATCTAATTAGTAATCCTCGGTCATGGTCGGAAGCTATTGTTGTACTAAATATTTATTAATATGAGAGATATACAATAAACTGCAAACATTTAAACTAAGAAAAAAAAGGATTATAAGTTTACAGGTTTTGTTAATAAGTTTCTTCCATATATTTTATTTCTGTTATTTATTTTGTATAAAAATCCAGTTTATTTTGTTTGTATTTTATTATCAATTTATTTAAAGTTGGAAAAATAGTCGGAGTTTTTAAAACTTATTTTTCCCCTTAAAAATCCCTTTAAACAAGTTAATTAAAAAAGTCTAGTGACATTTATGCGCAATTTCCTTATGTTATCTAAAAATAGCTCTGACGTATACTGCTGGGGTGCGTTCAAGCTAGAAGAACGTTCGGTTTGTAGGTGTTTATGTAATTTTAAAATTTGTGACCGAACGAGAGGATATTTTTGAAAACTTTCTTCGGCAATATTGTTCTAAATTATGGCAGGAATCGATTGGTACATGTTTCAAGTCGCTAAGTGGTCTGGTTGCCGAGATATGGGCCAAAATCTGCATTTTTTCGAGGTTTTTTGGCTTTTCCGGGAAATACATGAAAGAAACCCGGACTTTTTATGGCCTATGCTCATTCTCGTAACTTGCTTAACATAATTGCTTTTGGAACTAGTCGTCGATATTGCTTCGTTGAGGAGGAGATACGACTTAAAGCCCGGACACACATTCATCCATACATTCATTCATTCATCCATCCATTCCCAGAAATGACGAGTTAATAAACGCAATTCTCCAGAATGGAAATTGCGCTAAAAAATTACTCAATTTGAATATCACACTCCTTGGCAGAGGCGTAGCGATGGGGGAAGGGGGGGGGGCAGGGGGGACACATGTCCCCGGGCGCCGACCTTAGGAGGCGCCAAAATGGGTGGGAAAATGTAATCGAAAGTTTGAAGGGGTTGCAAATCGAAAGTTTGAGGGGGTGCAAATCGAAAGTTTGTCCCCGGGTGCCGGGAAGGGTCGCTACGCCTCTGCTCCTTGGTCTGCACAAACCTCAATTTATGTGTCGGCTGATATTTCTTATTTACATAGAAAAATTATCCACCTGCAGTACTTATTATTTACCCAGAATCGTTGACGAATGATCCTCCTACAACATCTCTTATTTATCCCAGAATTGTTAACGAATGGAGCAACTGTTATATTTCTTATTTACCCAGAATTGTTGACGAATGGAGCAACTGTAACATCAGAAAGGTCAGTGAAAATTGCGACAACCGTGTGGGGACCTTCTACGGTCGAGTGTGGAAACTTTCAATGCATCTCACATTTGAAGGGCTGGGCTGTGGTCAGACAAGGAATGCTCGTAAGTTCGTCACGCTTACATTAAATACATTTGATTCGTGATGTTTCAAATATGTAAGCGGTTCGTGCTGTTTTTGTGTTTGTCTGTGTTTATGTTATTATCGAAAATTCTTATATAAGTTTCGTACAATTAGAAAACGTGATCCTGTGCTCGATATTGTTTTAGTTTAAGACGAAGTTTGAAAATGTGTAGTAAAGAGAAACAAACAACATTGGGGTGGGTTTTTTTTTGTAAGGGGGTGGTAGAAAGAGATAGGCCTCAATCACCCTATCGAGATCCAATCATTAATATACCACAAAAAACATTCTTAAAAATAGAGAACATAGACCATAGGGGTCGTCCATAAATGACGTCACACTCGTAGGGGGAGGGGGGGGGTCCGTAATTTTGTGACGGTGTGTGATGAGGAGGAGAGTGGGGGGGGGGGTTCAGATGGTGCGACGTCACACTTTTGCATTATAAAAAAGCAATGTTAGAAAAAGAATAGATGTTATTTTGCGTTTTAGAAAACTGTTTTAGTAAATTGTAATAACAATTGATTAAAATATTCTATTTTGACAGAGTTCAGACAAGATTTTGGAAAAATATAGCTGTTTTTTTTTTTAAATTCAACTGCAATTTTTGAGAGGGGGGGGGGGGGGTTGTAGGCTGAGGTGTGACGTCATTTTAGGGGGGGGGTCTGGCTCTTTGTGACGACTGTGACGGAGGGGAGGGGGAGGTAAAAATCGTCAAAAAAAAGCGTGACGTCATTTATGGATGACCCCATATGAGTACAAAAAAATTGGTTAACTTTTGTTAAGCATTCATGTTTATAACTACAACTAGATCGTATTTTAGAGCCTAATAATTTGCTAGACATAATGTAACCCCCCCCCCCTCCCCAAATTAAAAAAAATACACACCGTGAATTGGGAGGGAGGGGGGACTATGTGTATGGGTAGTATATATGGCAAAAACAATATCTAGTTTATCCACTGATCATAAAGTACACGTTAGTTAACGTTAGAAAGTTAGGTTACATGTTAAAGTGAATAATAATATGTACCGTTTGGCTAAATGGAAAAACATATATATATATATATATATATATATATATATATATATATATATATATATATATATATATATATAAATATCTTAACTTACATACTATTTAGTAATAAAACAATTACAAAGCATGCTTTGTTGTTGATTTAAATTTTAGAAAAAAAAAACATAAACAAAAATTAATTAGACTGCCTTTTTTCAGGTCGCAACATAGAGTCCTTGGCTCCTCTACTCTCTAAGACAGCCAAACTTAGGCGCTGAACATCAAACCTAAAACCTTCCACAATTCTAGAAGTTTAATGCCCTGTGGATCTGTTGGAAAAGATTAGCGAGTTCATTTCTTTTTATTGAAGGAATAAAGATGAAGTAAAAGATCTAACAGACTATCGTTTTTATTTTAAATACAATTTTAATCTACAAATCCATTAGTTTCTTTAAAAGAATGGAAGGTAATATAGTAAATATCATCGTACCATACTCAACCATGTAGGCTGAGGTAAAATTATTCAAGCAAAAGTACTACTATCTCAGATTAACTTTAGGTTCAGCCAATGTGAGAGCTCACTCGCATCTTGACCACACCCCTCCAACAGAAACAGTGAGACGCCTTTATTTTTGGACAATCCCTAATTGTGTTGAAAACCTACGTTCACATCATTTAGTCTGGCACGAAACTGCGTAGGGCCTACTTGGTAATAAATACATTTTGACTAGGTTCGTTTTTAAGTTAAATGTAACGAACTGTTGGCTATCATTCTCGGAAGAATAAAGCGTGAGTGATCTCCCCTAAACTTTCCGAATATTATTATAACACTACCGGGGATGGCAACTCGGGATATAGACATGATTTTTAATCTATTTTTAATTACTTAAACTTTTTTTTAAAATAGAATAGAATCTCGTAGAACGAAGAACTTCGTATGAAGTGAACGGCAAAAATATGTGTATAATAGTGCGGAATATTAGTACTTTACAAATACATAATTATTTTTTAGAAATCGAAAAAAAAACGTGAATTACTACTTGTTATCAACGGAAATCACTCAAAATTTGACAGAAGGCAGAAAATTAGATCTTTTACTTACATGTGAAATTTCGTATATCTATCAGAAACAGTACTCAAGTAACAGGCTTTTGAAAAAAAAAACCTAAGAAAAATAAGTTCCACTTCCGATCTCCGGAAATCGCTTAAAAGTTGACACATTTGATATAATGCTTATGAAATTTCATCAACTTAGCTGTAACTGTACTTAAGTGATCGTGTTCACAGACATACATACATACATACACACACACACACATACGGACAAAATTGCAAAACACTGTATTTCCGACTCAGGGAGGTGTAAAACGTGGCACGATTACAATACTTTCTCTATACTTCGTATACGAGAAAGTAAAAACAACATAAATAGGCCTACCATTGAACAGCCGGGTTTTTAACGGAATCATTTAAGTCTCTTAATCAGTGTGTGCATTTAATATAGTGTTTTGTTTGACTAAAAATGTATCTAATTTGGTTTTAATTTTTCTAATAGGTATTGGTAGCCTATGTTATTTTAAATGTGTCGGATTTTTAGCTATATTTAGCTATTTCTTTACTTTGTCACTAATATTAGTAATATCGTTCAACATATAGTAAAGCACATTGCGTTTTAACCAATAAATATTTTATAAATTATTTTCTTAAGCAAGTGTAACATAACATTACCGGTAGCTAGTATATTATAGACTAGATTTGTCTAGGCTCTGGGAGCCTAGCCCTCCCTTCGTAGTTGACTTTTCCTCCCGAAATTTGATCAGCCAATAGATTCATTTAGTGAGTAGTTTCCCTTCGCACTCAAATGAGTGGAAAGAACGATACATGTAAAACTAAATGCGATAGTTTAAACTTTAAACTAAACAGTTAACTGTTCTAGAAGATCTAATCTAGATCTAGATCTAGATCTAGATCAAAATCGTTTACCATTTTTTGTACTAACTCTTTTAGGTTTTATGTATAAACGACCTATCCTGATTGCTTCTTTTTTTGTTTTTTTGCTGGTTAGTTAATTAAATAAAATACTTTTTGTAGGCCTAGTGCTAGTACTAGTACTAGATCTAGTAACTAGATTAAGATTTAGTTTAGATCTAATCTAGTAGTTAGTAGATCTATAACTAGAATCTATAACTAAAACAATACATTACTGTAGCAACCATCATCATCAGTGGCGTACCTAGGATTTTTGGGCCCCTATGCAAAAAGTGTTAGTGGGCCCCTCAGAGGCGTAGCGACCCTTCCCGGCGACCGGGGACAAACTTTCGATTTGCACCCCCTCCCCCCCTCAGACTTTCAATTTGCACCCCCCCCCCCTCAGACTTTCGATTTGCACCCCCACCCCCTCAAACTTTCAAAAAAGTGCCCCTATTTGCCTTGGGCCCCTATGCCTTGCTTACGGTAGCTGAGCCACTGATCATCATTCCCACAAGTAAGCTGACAGACAGTGGAGGAAAACACATTCCTCAATGTCTTTTTTTTTTTTACAATGCCAGCATGTAATGGTTTAAAATCTTACAGTACAGCTCAAGAGTCAAATTACTGGACCGAAACAGTACTGCTGTGTCCTGATAACAAATTTGTGCCCATGCTCTTGGGAAAGTAGTACTGCATCTGTTAGGTCCTAAATTGTCAATTGTAGTCTTTAGTCTCACATCTTTGACCAAATCTTTATCTTTTCATTATAAGCAGAGGCGTAGCGATGGGGGGGGGGGGGGGGGGGGGGCAAGGGGGGACATGTGTCCCAGGGTGCCGACCTTAGGGGGCGCCAAAATGGGTTGTAAAAACAAATTAAATGTCATTTTAGCTGCACTTTTGCAGTTTGGGGGGTTGCAAATCGAAAGTTTGAGGGGGGGGGGTGCAAATTGAAAGTTTGAGGGGGGGGGGGGGGGGAAGAGGGTACAAATTGAAAATTTGCTCCCTAGGTGGGCGCCAAATTGAAAGTTTGTCCCCGGGCGCCGGGAAGGGTTGCTACGCCTCTGATTATAAGTATAAGCAAGAAAAACACATTTATTTTAAAACATTACAGATTTTGTCAATATGTTCTTTTTCAAATATTTAGCTATGTTAAATGTTCAGCTGTTTCAATAAACATGTGACAATTTCTGGCAAGTTTTTGCCAGTATCTCACTCATAACATTGACTATAACCTACCCGAACCTGCAGAAACTTAACCCTAATTCTGACCTCATCTCTGACCATATCCTTATTCTAAACTTGCCTCAGAAGGTTACAGCAGCAACAACTCTATATAACATTATGTTATTCTACCACATTATTTTCAGGTAATCAGCACTGACCTTTATATGCCTGTGCTGTTTGCTTTCCTGCGAAGAATCGTAGCAATGGCTGAAGGACAAGTACGTCCTTATACATCAGGCGCAGCATCCATGGCTTTTGTTTCTGTTCCAAATATTGAAGTGGCCAAAAAACTTGCAAGGTACTTTTAGCATTGCTTTCAGAATGGCTGAAATAGTGTTGCATACTCTATTTTTCTTCAGTAATAATATAAAAATTATCTTTTTGAACTTGTATACATGTATTATATTTATATTATATACATGTATTAGAAGATAATGTTGGTTTTCAAAAATTTATTGAATATATTTCTGGAGCATTTTAATTACTAATATGGTATTCATAGCTGAAGAAAATGTTTTTTTTAAAAATATTTTTAGAACATTTTAATTTACAAGCTTGTCATTGTAAAAAAGGTTTTTTATGTTTTATTTTCAGTTTAATCAAAATACATTATGCACAGAGTTATTTGTGTGTCTTAATATTTACTTAAATCACTGGTTTCCAAACTTAGTGGGGAAGCAAAGGACTAAAACTAGGGAAGGTGCAGACAGTTTAACAGAAATTTACAACATAAAATAAATGAATACAAGTCAACACTATGTAGCAGTAATATTCAGCAATCAATATGGGACAGCATGGCGTAAGCAGTATAGCGCTAGGCTGATAACCCAGTTTTATCAAGCTCTGATGGGGGAAAATGAAGGCGGCTGGGTAAAGTGCTGACCACCACACCTTCCCTTCATATGCTGAGGTCAAAAACAAATGAACTATACTTCATCTGCCTGCCCGATAGATTGATAGGTCTAAAGAGAATTCTTTTTTTAAAATATTATGATATATCAGGGGGTAGGGGTTAGGGAGATGCCAGGATTTGTGAGTTACAAAGAGCGCCACAAATATTTGGAAACAGCTATTGTGAATATCACATGCCCACAGTTAAAGAAATATGGTTCCCTTGTGGAGAGAGACACTCATGATTTTTTTTATCTTCCCCAGTGACATTGTTAAAAACAAGCTGGCTGCCTGTGTGAATATAATTCCACAGGTCACCTCGGTGTAAGTGCATTGATTTATGGCTGTAATTGTTTTGTTAAATCCTAAAAATACGACAATGTACATTTGTAAATGGGATCATTGCTAAGCAATAGTTTATAAACTTTGTTTGTGGTTCAGAAGTTAGTTTTTCTTCCTTTTTGAAAACTATTTTAACTATTTTTTCTAACCTATTATTATTTTATAAAATTTATGAACCTGTTTTGACACACTTTTTCAATAAACTTAGTTACACCAGATTTGTTTGTTCTAGGTATGAATGGGAAGGAAAGATAAATGAAGACTCTGAATTACTTTTGGTAATTTTATGTTTTGATTTTACATTAAATGAAGCTGCATGCCTTATACACTGATTTTAGTCACAGTAAAATATTAATCGGTCTATTTATATTGAAAAATAAAACCTAAATTTTGTTTACAAGTAGGACAGTTAAACAGATGTCTTTAAATAACCATTTATTAAATTTTTTTGTTAACTTGTTCACTTTGCTGATAGTTTAATTGTTGTGTGATTTTTTTCTCAAAAGTATTAACAGTAATTAGTTTGAGAAAAGAAAGAAAGAGTGATAATTTATTGCTTAAAATTAATATTCTTTAAATAACAATTTCAGATGATTAAAACAATGACTTCAAAGGTTGAAGAGCTCTCAGAGTTTGTCAGGTATGTTATTGACATTTCTTGACTAATTATATTTTGTGGATTTCTACAAGTATTTTAACATACAACTTTTTTTTTTCTTATCTGTTTAGAATAGCTTTGCTTATAACTTGTAGTAGCTTTATTAAAGTAGAAAGTGAAACAGTTGTCATGGTGATAGATTTATCATTATTTTACAATGTGGAAATTTGCTTGTATTTATGCAGAGTAAACTAGGATAAATTTAAAAAGTTATGGTCGCATGTCAACAATTTTAGTTAGATTTTACATGTTTAATGATTTTTGTATCTGCATTTCTGTTTGAGTGTTTATGTTTTCTTTCTTGGAAATTATCATTGTAACTTTTTCATTGTAGGAAAAATCATCCTTATGAAGTGGCTGAAGTAATCAGTGCTCAGGTGAAATTTTAATTACATCAAATTTTTCCAACAAAAATTTATTTATCTGATACACCATCATGAGTACCAGATATTTTAATTATGGCCCTTTTTTATATAACTTAAAGGAATTTTAACATATTTTTAATGATGAAAAGATTTTTAAAAATATCAGATAGTCTTTAAGTAACAAGTTCCACTGTACACTATCTAAAATGTAACTCTGAAATTTCAGTCAGTTTTTGGCTTCTAAAGGCCTAACATTTAAGGTTACTATAAAGAAAAAGCTAAGTAACATCTAATGTGATCTAGTAATTAGATAGTTAGTAATAATAGAAAGCATGAAATCGATTATTTGGAACATGTGCTCTTATTTAACTGTGGGTGAAAAACATTTGCATGACATTATGAGGTTCAATTGTTTTATGTTGTGGGCTGCGTTACATACATTCTTTTCATGACTGCATATTTTTTTTTTATACCCTTAATTCTCCTATAGTTTCTTAAAATACTTTTTAGATAAAAATAGAACCATAAATAATAATTATTTATTTTCAGATAAAGTTGTTAATGAATTAACATGTAAAACAGAAGCAGTTCAAATAAAATTCATTAACTATTAAATATTCTTCTATCTGGACAGATTGACAAAGGGAATCCACCATACCTAGACTGGATCTCCAAAACAGTGCTTGGTGAAACAGTATCAGAAAAAGATTGATTTTTCTCTACTGGCCTGGTCTTAAGTTGTTGATGTGGACTTCCAATGTTTTCTAAATGGACTTACAATGGTTTTTCCTGAATCGTCCCTAACAAACAGACTTAACATGTTTCCCTAAAATGTGTATCTGTGATTGCCTTAATAAGCCATATTGACCTTGCAATGATTGCATGAATTCTCCCTTCATTTTAAAATGGCTCGACTCATGAGGTAAACCTTTATATTGTATTAAAACGAAAAGGTAGGTAGGTGTACCATTAGCAATTTAATCACATAATGACTGTGGCACTTGATGTTTCAGACCAATGTCTTCTTCAGCACATGACGTTGGTTATAGGACAGGCATAAAATAATGCAAAGGGGCCTTTTCACACATTTTTCTGTTGTTATTTTTGACAGTGTTAGTTCTTTAAGCACCAATTGTGCGCTATAAAAAGCTTGGGTTGAAACATTGGTTTTACTAGTTGCTAAATAAGCCCATAATTTGATGTATTTTCATGTTAAATTGTATGAAATGGGTTTTCTTGCTTAATACATTTTATGATCAAAGAATTAACTCTTTGTTAAAAGTTTTATAGTTTATCAAGTCACAGTGTCTGTGAATGGATGTGTTAATCACTAATGGTCAAATCTAGTAATTAAATTTTAAATTAGGGGTCGGCATGGTCGAGTCAGTAAAGCTCATGGTTGCTAAACTGAAAAGTCTTGAGTTCGAACCCTCGGGCAGATAAGGCTCATTAGCTGGGGACAGCCACTCTTCTAGGAGAGACAACTCCAAAATCAAACAACTGCTGCCTTGTAGTTTGTTCTTGGTTGAACAAAGGCTATGGAAGCAAAACCAAACAGAAAAGCAGGCTGAAATTGGATTCAATGGCCTCTGTGGTGCGCATAACCAGTTGAATTGTAACCTTAAAATTAAGAACCAAGAGGAAGAAGAAGAATTTAAATCTTAAATCTAACTGCGATTTCTGGGGATTTTATACACATGTCTCATGGATGACAACAAAATAATCTAAACTCACCGTCAGATTCAATAGCAACATTAAAAATTAATTTTAGATTTTTAAATACAATAACAAAATGGGAAATAACTTAAGTTTACTGTTTAAAAAATATTTTAATTATTTGTTATAATGTTAAGAAATTTGAAATGTGAGCCAGTATTCTAAAACATCCTCCAGTATTCTACAACATCCTCCAGTATGCTGTACAAGGTAAGGTAACTGCTAAATGTTTCTTGCTAAAGATGTGAGAGCAACGGCGTTATTGACAGCACTACCATCTGTAGATGATGTACCTCAAGTAGTAAAAGTCCAAATTTTTCTTGATACTTACATCATTTTTGCTATGCTTTAATGTAATATGTCGAATATGAATTTCTGCTTTGCGTGATTGTAAAAAAAGGGATAAGTCATTTTGTCAGCATTGGAAAAAAGGATCTGCTATTTATGAATGAAGCAAAAAAACAGTAAAATGTCCTAATATAAAAAGCTTTTATTCAATTCAGCAGAATAGGAAATGATTAAATAAAAAGTAAAATCTACGTCCACACTGTACGAGATATCCTTTCTATGCACGTGTTAAAAAATGTGTAAAACAACATACATGTACAACAGAATCTTTACGGAGTCGTTACATTCATACATAGTGCAGCCACACACTACTCCAGAAGTGTATTTACAAAATATCTTTCTAGTGGAACCATTTTTTTCATTTAATTAAACACAACATCTGAATAGAATAAAATTATTTCATGCTATAAAAAAAGTAAAAATCTCTTTCATTAAAGACTCAATTTTTTTTACCTTACCAAATAAGACCTTTTTCATTATATTCAACATAAAGTAGATTATAAAAAAAACATTAGCCTTTCTACTAAAACTTTATTATATTAAACACAATATGCTACTTCAGTACAAAAACTTTTCTCACCTAATTCTATTTTATTCTTCACTAGTGGAGTAAAATAAAGCATTCACTACAGTAAGATATTATTGTACAACATGTACATAAAAATCAGAATACAACATTCAAAATTTCTTTCCAAATGTATAAACTGAATTAACAATGTATGCATATATAGTTATAGCTGGTGATGCATTTTCTCCTGTTACAGAAGAATTTGTGTTCAAATGCCTAGTAAAATTAGTCAATAAATCTTTGACCAGTATTCTCTTTAATCTAACTCTTAGCTTTCAGACTGAAAGATTTGATTTTTGCTTGCTATTGTATTTGTTACAATGTTAGTAACTGTTGTTATATCCGTTAAGTCAGGAGCAATCACCATTCATAAGATAAAAGGATATTTGTGAAATTTTCCACGGAATTGAATCAAGCGCTTTATTAATTAATGTCCTATCCAGCAAAGATACATCTGTTAAAACTCATCAACAGTCATACCGGAAAAGCCTTTGGTGCAGTTGAAAAAAAAATAACAATTCTACTAACCAATCAACACACGTATAACAGAGCAACATGATAAAAATGTAATGTCATCTATCAAATATACATCCTCGCAAAAATTAACTTCCGTATAAATTACTGATGTTCTACATTTGGTTTCAAGTGATCCATTTAAAATAGATACTAGGGACTACACACAGACATTAAACAGTTGATTAGTACAAGTAGACCATTGTAAAACAAATTATTTTCTTCACAACATTAAATAACGGAGGTAAATTAGTTTGGCTGTTGTTGTTTTTTTTTTTGTGCAACAAATTCATCTCTTGTATCTGGTCTTACAAATTTGGAAAATGGCAAGGAAAAACTCAAAAGTTATCAAAAACAACACTCAAATTGTTATGTTTGTTTGTAAGGGGAATTATTTTTTTTATTTTTGTATATCCTGACAGAAAAGAGATTCAAATTTGAGGCAGTTACGACTGGAAAAGGATACACAATGTTTCATGAATATCACCAAAAAAAAAGCTGGCTTAAAAAAAATATTTCAACTACATAGGGTCAGCTTGGTCAGGTCAGTGTGTTAGTGATCGGAAAACGTTCCTCCATTTCATTGTACATCTCCAGTTATCATATCACCACGCTGTTGTCATCATCTTCCTCTAACTGAACTCTGGATAAATCCACGGAGAGTTTTATCACTTTTGGTTCCGCGTATGGGTTTCTCAAACTTTCATGTCCTAAAACAACAACACGAACTAGAGCATCGGTCACAAGGTAGGGGTCAAAGTTCGATGCGGGTCGCCTGTCCTCAAGGAATCCTTTCTTATCAATGGCGACTTGCCGGGGTATTCTATGGATACATTTCAAAACAACATTTGAGATATTTGATCATTAATAAAGTTTGGTACTAAAATAATGTCAACATAACAATATCATAAAATTTGTCCTGTATTCCCCACTTAAAATATCTTCCACTTACCGTATTGTGGCATCCCCCACCTAAAATTTCCCTCTGTCCTCTATCCCCACCTAAAATATCTTCCACTCACCGTATTGTGGCATCTCTGTCCTCTATACCCCACCTAAAATTTCCCTCTGTCCTCTATCCCCCAACTAAAATATCTTCCACTCACCGTATTGTGGCATCTCTGTCCTCTATCCCCCACCTAAAATATCCCTCTGTCCTCTATCCCCCAACTAAAATATCTTCCACTCACCGTATTGTGGCATCTCTGTCCTCTATTCCCCACCTAAAATTTCCCTCTGTCCTCTATCCCCCAACTAAAATATCTTCCACTCACCGTATTGTGGCATCTCTGTCCTCTATCCCCCACCTAAACTCGCGAGATGCTGTACAGAAAAATCCCATCAGTCTGGCAACATTATCAGCCCCGCCATGGGCATCACACAGAGGCAAAAAATCCTGGTGAGTCTTGGCAAGAAGGGGCATTGCTGCCTTTATATGTCTGTAAAAAATGATATTTTTTTTTTTTTTTTGCAAAAAATATTTTTAAACAATTTATTAAAAAAACAACAAACACATATTGTTTTTTAATAATTTAAAAAATATATAACACCTAATTGATTCCCCCTTTAGTAGCCTCTAAACAAATATAATAGTATATATGACCTACTACTATTGCCACTTTAGTCTATAAGACCTACTTTTCCCCCTCTAAGAGACATGACCTACTTTGTTCTCTCCAGCCCTAGTAAAATAGTGTTTGTAATCTACTTGATATCCTCCCCCCCCCCCAATCTACTAGCCCCCCCCCCCACCCCGTGCCCTGTATATGTGGCCTAGTAACCACCTCTCCAGGTATGTATAATCTACGTAATTCTTCAAAGTATTATATATAACCTATTTGATTAACCCATCCCTTACAAAATATATAACCTATTTGATTCCTAGCTCCCTAGTAAACATGACCTACTTGATTCCACCTCACTAGTAAACATGACCTACTTGATTCCCCCCTCCCTAGTAAACATGACCTACTTGATTCCCCCCTCCCTAGTACACATGACCTACTTGATTCCCCCCTCCTGTCGCATCTGCTTGGTGCTGAAGTTCACATGGCCCCCACAGGCCCCTGCGCCACCTGGTATAAGCTTTGGATGCAGCGACACGGCAACGCCAAACTCCTCGGACAAACGGTGCAAAATGTACCTGGCCATCCAAAGGTCATCTGCAGCTCTGACCCCTTCAGACGGGCCAACTTGAAACTCCCACTTTAAAAAAAAAAATGTCCATTCTATTTTAATCATGGGAAGTAATCATGTAAATAAAACTATTTAAAAATATATTCACGGTTACGTCCCTTACTACACAAAAAATTTACACCGCTACCTGTCCAGGACAAGCCTCAGCATTGCCGCCAGATATATTGATGCCAGCATAGAGACACGCAAAGAGATGGGCCTCGTACAGGTCTCGTCCGAATGCTTTATGCATGCCCACAGCATCGTGGTGGATGGGTGCTGTGGGGAAAATACAGTTTTCAATTATTTTTTTTCTCTACTAATACATTTTCTTTTATAAATAGCCAACATTGATTCTTGCAAGGAAGCTCAGCTCCAGGTAAAAAAAAAGACATATATATATATATATATATATATATATATATATATATATATATATATATATATATATATATATATATATATATAGGGCCTAAATATTGATATTACAACAGCTTGGCCACATTATTGGCCAACCCACAGCAGCCTGGCCATCCTAATGGCCCACTTACAACAGCCTGGCCATCGTAATGGCCGACTTACAGCAGCCTGACCATACTATTCGCCAACTTACTATTTGGTTGCGGCATGAAGCAGCTTGGCCAACCAATTGGCCGATTGGCCGCGTCAATGATGGAGTACTCCTGCTCAAGGCCGAACCAGGGGGCCGATGACATCACTTCCGGTGTGGCCATTGTTTCAGCACAGTCTTTACGGAAGTTGCGAGCTAAGGAAGAAAAAAAAAGGTCGAAATAAAATTAAGATTAATGTGTTCGGTTCTGGAAATTCCCGACAATAAAAATAGACATAACTGACACTTTATAAAGAGATGGAAAAAGAAAACAAAAATATGTCAAACAACACGTAGTTCGGCGCCCCCCCCCCCCCCCCTCCCTTTATTAACTTGAAGATAATGTTCTGCCCATGTCTTCATTGGAGTTTTCAGTTCATGTGTTTATATTACACAAAAACGAAATCAAACAAAACTAAGGCTTCCGGTTTTAACATTATTTCACATTGAATATCTCAAAAATATATTTGATTAACCCTTTGATGGTTGTTGAATGCATGTTAACCCCTATTATGTGGATTAAAAGCTAATAATAATAAAACGCAGCCTTTTAATACCTTCGGTTATAGTTCATATTTATCAATGTTATCACAGAACTTTGCATATAACTGTTTAAAAATTTCTTTTGAGTCCATTGGTGACGTATCAGTTATGTGTGTGTTGTCGGGGTAGTTAAATTTTTGAGAAGAAATATCAAACAGAAGACTGCTTTATTTACCCTAAAAATACTTGAATTAGTCGACAAAGGCATCATAAAAACTAAATAGATAAGAAAACAGACAGTAGATCAGATAAAGGGCTCTAGCTCATTACTGGAAGCTCCTCTTATACTTTGCTTGCAAAACCAAATTTAGGTATTGGCTAAGATGTTTTATTTTTTATTTTATTTTTTTGTAATTAGGGGAGGTACACCCCTTCCAGCACACATAAAAAGTGACGCCACTGTCACGGCATAATCTTCTTCGAATAAAAAACATGAATATTTACAAGCTGCCGTCTGCTCCGTCCCATATCCTGTACGCGTCTAAAAACCGAAAAGAAAATGTAAAAAAAAAAAACGTATTCTTGCAAACACAGCAAACATTACACATTTATTTTTGTTTGATCGTTTTGTGAGTTGTTACACATCGTGCATGATTGCAATAAGACTAAGAATCATCTTTAGACCTAGCGATTCATTGGGTAGATGAAGTAGAGTTCATGTGTTTCTTGGCCTCGGCAAATGAAGGGATCGTGTGGTCAGCACTTTGCGTAGTCTCGTTTACTTTCCCTAACGTGAGTTAGGTGCCCATCAGAGTTGGATGGACTCAGGGACGTTCTACTACTTAGAACCCGGATTCGAACTCGAGACTTTCGAGTTAGCTAGCGCTCCACCAACATACCACGCCGTCCGATGAACTTGAATACTAAAATAATTTAATTATTAATAGTACAATGATCAATTATCTCTTTAGAAAGGTAATTAAAGTCCAACACGTTTATTGCCTCTACATTTCATCATTCAGCAGAAAAACATTCGATTTGTAAATGTGCCAATTACGATGCACTCAACTCATAACATCTTCGAAGTAGGGTGTTTGGGATGAGATGTTGTTAGTTGTCGGGTTGTAATCTCGGTAAAGTGTATCGATATGAATCCAGTGTGAACCTTTATGGGTATAGAATATTGTGTGAATACTGAATGTTGTGTTTTAAAATTGACGTGGCTATTGCTGAAAACCACTAGCTGTTGTGTGTTTCGTTTCAGTGTGGCTGTTTGCCTGTGTGTGTGTGTGTGTGTGTGTGTGGTTGTTAAGGTGTATGTCTGAGTGGCTTTATTTTGTGTGTGTCTGAGTTTGTATGTATGTGTGACTGTGGTGCTGTGTGGGTGGGTGCCTGTGCGGGCGTGTGTCTGTGCGGGCGTGTGTCTGTGCGGGCGTGTGTCTGTGTATGTCTGACACCTATCAGGCTATCACCCCCCCCCCCACTTACGTACAGGCTGCCAGTCATCAATAGAAGTGTGGGTGTGTCTGCAAGGGTGGGTGTCTGCGAGTGTGTGTCTGTATGTCTACCTATCACCCCCCCCCCCCCCCCATCCCCACTTACGCGCAGGCTGCCAGTCATTAGCGTAGACCTCACACAACACCAGCCGGTGATTCCCTTGCCGGAACGGGTCTTTATAGATGGCAACCGGCTTGAGGAACCGGTCCTCAACTGGAAAGTTGGCCGCATAGCTCCACACTGGGACTTCTGGGAAATAAAATAACAAAAGAGAGTGTTATACCGATACAATAACAGTGCATATTGTTATACCGATACAACAACAGTACAAATTGTTATACCGATACGATAACACTAGAGATTCTTATACTTAGATAATAACAGTACATATTGTTTATACCGAAATACAAATTATCATAACTAGATAATAACAGTACATATTGTTATGCGGATACCGTAACAGTATAAATTGTTATACACAATAGCAATACCGATTGTTATACCGATATAATAACAGTAAAGTCTGTTGTTCGGTTCAAATTATTACTTATTGCAAGGGATTAAAAAAAAATTCAAAACCAAGCGCTAAGCTAGTTGGCTATTTAGGGAAAAGTCTAATCTCGGGGGGGGGGGGGAGAGGGGGGGGGCTTATTGCAGAGAAGGGCTTCTGTCCATGTCTTCAGAGGGCTTAGAGCCAAGAAAGAATTGAAGCTGTTTTCTTGTTTACATTCCACTTATCTATCAGAGCTGAGTGGACTCAGGGACTTGAACCCGGATTCGAACTTTCGGGTTATCTATCTGGCGCTCTACCTCTAGGCCACTCCGTTCCACAAATGTTACATAGGTATACAATATTGAAATGGAATAATATGTATTTCACTAGTGCGATACCGCAATACTACAGAGGCTGACTACATTACATAATCGATGCATCATCCGGGTCCGATACGACGATGCAAGGACGTCCTGAGACGATCTCATGACGCAAGACTGGCTGTTTCAATGCCATGAACACGCGCGTGAAATGGACTTCACTAGACATTTAACAGCACGCGGCTCCTGAGTGTGAGTGGCGATGCTGACACGACCCTGCGTTGCCTTCGTGGCATAATTATCTAATTGAGCGGGACCTGGCCAATCGATACGCAGACGTCTACCTCGTTCCGGCGTCTGCTCGGCCGTCCATTAATCCGTCAATCAATTGGAACCGGAAATGTGTTGATTTAGCGGGAGAAAGCGGATACAAGCTGACATGATGAAGAAATAGCGGGGAAGGTAGACTAGAATAGATGCTGGCTTGACACTCTGGAATTTTAACTAGGGCAGCCAGTAACCTCTCTAGTAACTAGGGCAGCCAGTAACCTCTCTAGTAACTAAGGCAGCCAGTAACCTCTCTAGTAACTAGGGTAGCCAGTAACCTCTCTAGTAACTAGGCAGCCAGTAACCTCTCTAGTAACTAGGCAGCCAGTAGCCTCTCTAGTAACTAGGGCAGCCAGTAGCCTCTCTAGTAACTAGGGCAGCCAGTAGCCTCTCTAGTAACTAAGGCAGCCAGTAGCCTCTCTACAACCATAACTAGGGCAGCCAGTAACCTCTCTAGTAACTAGGCAGCCAGTAGCCTCTCTAGTAACTAGGGCAGCCAGTAGCCTCTCTAGTAACTAAGGCAGCCAGTAGCCTCTCTACAACCCTAACTAGGGCAGCCAGTTACCTCTCTAGTAACTAGGGCAGCCAGTAGCCTCTCTAGTAACTAGGGCAGCCAGTAGCCTCTCTAGTAACTAAGGCAGCCAGTCACCTTTCTAGTAACTAGGGCAGCCAGTACTCTACAACCCTAACTAGAGCAGTCAGTAACCTCTCTACAACCATAACTAGGGCAGCCAGTAACCTCTCTAGTAACTAGGGCAGCCAGTAGCCTCTCTAGTAACTAGGGCAGCCAGTAACCTCTCTAGTAACTAGGGCAGCCAGTAGCCTCTCTAGTAACTAGGGCAGCCAGTAACCTCTCTACAACCCTAACTAGAGCAGTCAGTAACCTCTCTAGTAACTAGGGCATCCAGTCACCTTTCTAGTAACTAAGGCAGCCAGTAACCTCTCTTGTAACTAAGGCAGCCAGTAACCTCTCTAGTAACTAAGGCAGCCAGTAACCTCTCTAGTAACTAGGGCATCCAGTCACCTTTCTAGTAACTAGGGCAGCCAGTAACCTCTCTAGTAACTAGGGCAGCCAGTAACCTCTCTAGTAACTAGGGCATCCGGTAACCTCTCTAGTAACTATGGCAGGCGGTAACCTCTCTAGTAACTATGGCAGGCAGTAACCTCTCTAGTAACTAAGGCAGCCAGTAACCTCTCTAGTAACTAAGGCAGCCAGTAGCCTCTCTACAACAATAACTAGGGCAGCCAGTAACCTCTCTAGTAACTAGGGCAGCCAGTAACCTCTCTAGTAACTAGGGCAGCCAGTAACCTCTCTAGTAACTAGGGCAGCCACTTACCTCTCTAGTAACGAGGGCAGCCAGTAACCTCTCTAGTAACTAAGGCAGCCAGTAACCTCTCTAGTAACTAAGGCAGCCAGTAGCCTCTCTAGTAACTAGGGCAACCAGTAACCTCTCTAGTAACTAGGGCAGCCAGTAGCCTCTCTAGTAACTAGGGCAGCCAGTAACCTCTCTAGTAACTAAGGCAGCCAGTAACCTCTCTAGTAACTAGGGCAACCAGTAACCTCTCTAGTAACTAGGGCAGCCAGTAGCCTCTCTAGTAACTAAGGCAGCCAGTAGCCTCTCTAGTAACTAGGGCAGCCAGTAACCTCTCTAGTAACTAGGGCAGCCAGTAGCCTCTCTAGTAACTAGGGCAGCCAGTAGCCTCTCTAGTAACTAAGGCAGCCAGTAGCCTCTCTACAACAATAACTAGGGCAGCCAGTAACCTCTCTAGTAACTAGGGCAGCCAGTAACCTCTCTAGTAACTAGGGCAGCCAGTAACCTCTCTAGTAACTAGGGCAGCCACTTACCTCTCTAGTAACGAGGGCAGCCAGTAACCTCTCTAGTAACTAGGGCAGCCAGTAACCTCTCTACAACCCTAACTAGAGCAGTCAGTAACCTCTCTAGTAACTAGGGCAGCCAGTAACCTCTCTAGTAACTAAGGCAGCCAGTAACCTCTCTTGTAACTAAGGCAGCCAGTAGCCTCTCTAGTAACTAGGGCAGCCAGTAACCTCTCTAGTAACTAGGGCAGCCAGTAGCCTCTCTAGTAACTAGGGTAGCCAGTAACCTCTCTAGTAACTAGGGCAGCCAGTAACCTCTCTAGTAACTAGGGCAGCCAGTAGCCTCTCTAGTAACTAGGGCAGCCAGTAGCCTCTCTAGTAACTAGGGCAGCCAGTAGCCTCTCTAGTAACTAGGGCAGCCAGTAGCCTCTCTAGTAACTAGGGCAGCCAGTAGCCTCTCTAGTAACTAGGGCAGCCAGTAACCTCTCTAGTAACTAGGGCAGCCAGTAGCCTCTCTAGTAACTAGGGCAGCCAGTAGCCTCTCTAGTAACTAGGGCAGCCAGTAACCTCTCTAGTAACTAGGGCAGCCAGTAGCCTCTCTAGTAACTAAGGCAGCCAGTCACCTTTCTAGTAACTAGGGCAGCCAGTACTCTACAACCCTAACTAGAGCAGTCAGTAACCTCTCTACAACCATAACTAGGGCAGCCAGTAACCTCTCTAGTAACTAGGGCAGCCAGTAGCCTCTCTAGTAACTAGGGCAGCCAGTAACCTCTCTAGTAACTAGGGCAGCCAGTAACCTCTCTACAACCCTAACTAGAGCAGTCAGTAACCTCTCTAGTAACTAGGGCAGCCAGTAACCTCTCTAGTAACTAGGGCAGCCAGTAGCCTCTCTAGTAACTAGGGCAGCCAGTAACCTCTCTAGTAACTAGGGCAGCCAGTAACCTCTCTACAACCCTAACTAGAGCAGTCAGTAACCTCTCTAGTAACTAGGGCAGCCAGTAACCTCTCTAGTAACTAGGGCAGCCAGTAGCCTCTCTAGTAACTAGGGCAGCCAGTAACTTCTCTACAACCATAACAAGGGCAGCCCTTAGCCTGATGCTCTGGAATTGCTATCGATTTTAATTTCCTGGGTGACATTTTTTTTCTCTTTTTTTTTCTTCGCTTCACACCTAAGGTAAATGTCAGACGGTTTTGGCGAGATTTAAGATACACTACCAAACCATTGTAGGGATATCTGTAATCACAGATATTAGATACAGGATCTTTCGTAGTAGCATATTAGATACTGGAACTTTTATAGTGGCAGAGACTTTTAAAGTGACATATAATAGATACAGGAATTTTCTAGAGGCAGATAATAGATACAGTTTATAGCGGCTTCATGTAGGTTTATATTGCTTCTTACAACATTATTACAACTTCATGTAGGTTTATAACAACTTACTATATGTTTATAACAGCTCCTTACACATTTATAACAGCTTCTTACAAGTTTATAACAGCTTCTCACAAATTTATAACAGCTTCTTACAAGTTTATACCCGCTTCAGGTAGGTTAATTATACCCTTATGTAAAGTTATTGCTCAAAACTTCAAGATAATCATGCGTTGTTAAAAAAAAGAAAAGAAAACCCACTTAACTCTGAACGAAAAATAATTTACCTGAAGGGCAGGCAGGCACTGAGTTAATTTTTCTACACTTGCTGTGAATGCTGTACCCATCTTCTGCTACGTAAACGTATTCTACAAGTACCTGGTCCTGTTGAAGAACACAAGTTACACAACATGAACACGGTGTGGTAAAAATATAATAAACACTTGGTTTAAATCAATTTTAACATAGTATGAAAAATTTTAAAACCTAAAGACTTTACCTACAGAACACAAGTTACACAACATGAACACGACGTGGTAAAAATATAATAAACACTTGGTTTAAATACATTTTAACACAGTATGAACATTTTTTTTAAAACCTTAAGACTTTCCCTACAGAATACATGTTCACAATATCAGCAGTATGGAGAAAAAACAATATAAATTAGTGTGAATAAATCTAAAAATATTTTTTTAAATACCTGGAAATATTATCTACAAAAGTTGGATTAAACTGTTTTGGTAGGGATAAACGAAACAAAGTACATAAAAATATCAGGTCTAAGGCAGACTAAAGCAAGACCGGGAGAAATACTTGGAACAGATGGAGGAAGCCTGTGAAACTTAATCAACATTCAGGCAAAACTCGAGTTTGTAGACACCCGATTTTATAGCGGGATGTCAGGTTAATTACCACTATTTTACTGTGGGGGTTTCAGGCTAATCAAAACTATAAAGTAGCGGGATTTCAGGCTTAATAATACTATTACTTAGCAGGATCTCTCACCTTTTTATAGTGGGAGTCCAAGGCAATTATAATGGTTTTTGAATGGGAAGTCAGTCTAAATACTAGTTTAATACCTACGCCTACAGTTTGCTAGAGAAATGCCAGTTTAATACCTACACCTACAGCTTGCTAGTCTGACTATACATGATTGCACATTTTCTACCGCAACAATGACATCAGAGCTTCGTGGTATTTTATTTCGAGCTAATGTTTAGACGACGGGACGACGTGGCCTAGCAGTAGAGCGCTAGACTACTAACCCGAGAGTCTCGAGTCCACCCATCTCTGGTGGGTACCTAACTCACATTAGGGAAAGTAAAGGCGGCTGGGCATAGTTCTGACCACACTATCCCTTCATATGCCGAGGTCACAGAAACAAGTGAACTCTACTTTACTTGCCCCATAGACCATCAGGTTCGGAAAGGGAACTTAAATATTTAGACAGAATGCTGTTTTTGAAACAAGCCCAACCCAAGATCACACCAACTTTAACTGAACGATTTAAATCATAACTATATTATACAAAAACAAATAAATATCTTATGAATAATTTTGTTTTTCTAACTTCAAGATAATCTAATCTGTCATAAAAAATCTAGATAATTCCAGCCACCTCTTCCAGTACATCTCAGACCACAGCAACAATATTACTCTTAATTTCAGCCACCCAAGATGCGTCTCCCTAGCTGTAATTAACATTGAGGATCTGATTAGAGGAAATCAGTGTCTACATCGATCTGTATAAGAGCAACGTCCGGGTCATCTTGACCTTGACTAGACCATCAATCGATGAATCAAGACGTCCCTGGTAGTTGTATTCATGTTTCGGCTTTTCCATCTTAGGGGAGGGGAGGGCTTGTGTCATATGGGGAGGACTTGTGTCATGTAGGGGGAGGACTTGTAACATATGAGGGAGGACTTGCGCAAAGTAGCGAAGGACGTATCATATAGGGGAGGACTTGTGTCATTTGGGGGAGGACGTATCATATAGGGGAGGACTTGTGTCATTTGGGGGAGGACTTCATTTGGGGGTGGACGTTTCATATGGGGGAGGACTTGTGTCATATGGGGGACTTGTGTAGTATAGCAGATAAAAATGACCTACCTGTGGTATAGTTGATAAAAATGACCAAACTGTTGTATAGATAAACAAGATTAAAATGACCTACCTGCAGTATAGTGGATAAAAATGACCTACCATCCTGTGGTAAAGCAGATAAAATGACCGTCGTGTGTTTTAGCCGATAAAATGACCTTCGTGTAGTATAGCAGATAAAAATGACCTACCTGTGGTATAGTGGATAAAAATGACCAAACTGTTGTATAGATAAACAAGATTAAAATGACCTACCTGCAGTATAGTGGATAAAAATGACCTACCATCCTGTGGTAAAGCAGATAAAATGACCGTCGTGTGTTTTAGCCGATAAAATGACCTTCGTGTAGTATAGCAGATAAAAATGACCTACCTGTGGTATAGTGGATAAAAATGACCAAACTGTTGTATAGATAAACAAGATTAAAATGACCAAACTGTTGTATAGATAAACAGAATACAAATGACCTACCTTTGGTATAGCAGATACAAATGACCTACCTGTGGTATAGCAGATACAAATGACCTACCTGTGGTATAGGTAAACCAAGCACGAAGGCTGAATGAACAGCTTTGTTAAATCTCCAGTCGCTAGGTTCTCCCATTGTGACCACACAGTTCCGTGTCCTGGTGGACGAAAAAACACCCAGTCAGGTCTCTAAACCCTAACCCAACCAACGGTTAATCCTAACCCAACCAACGGCTAACCCTAACCCAACCAACGGTTAATCCTAACCCAACCAACGGCTAACCCTAACCCAACCAACGGCTAACCCTAACCCAACCAACGGCTAACCCTAACCCAACCAACGGCTAACCCTAACCCAACCAACGGCTAACCATAACCCAACCAACGGCTAACCATAACCCAACCAACGGTTAACCCTAACCCAACCAACGGTTAACCCTAACCCAACCAACGATTAACCTAACCAGCTTAACCAGCTGTAATTAGGCTACAGAGATGTCAAGTTAAATCTCTACCTTACTGGTTTAGTTAGTGGCTTGTATTTGTAAGATAAAGTTTAAACTGTAGGCCCTACACCAGGGGTTCCCAACCTTTTTTTTCTCTAGAGCACATTCTAAAATATCGGTAGGGTGGCGGGCACAACCTATTTTAAATCGACAAACTCCTTTCCTAACTTGTCATTTTGCCATAATTTATTTTCTTATTTTCTTATAGTCATAATGTATTAATAAATAATAAACAAAAACGTTTCAAAATAATAAAATTATTTGGCATTTTTTCAAATTGCATACACACAGAGAAATGTATTTACAAAACGTAAATAGTGCAGTCTGGCTCGCCGCTAGACAAGTTGGGACAAGTATCGAACATATTTAATAAACCTAGGCAGTCAAAAAAAAATTAAAACTGTAACAAATGAATAAAAATCAATCATATTTACTTTCTCGTATATACGTAGTATAGAGAAAGTATTGTAATCGTGCAAAAAAAAAAATCGAGATTTTTACAAATCTCGACGTTTTACACCTCACTGATACGGAAAAACATAATTTTGCAATCTTGTCCGTATGTCTGTGTGTGTGTGTGTCTGTGTGTCTGTCCGTGTGTAAACACGATAACTTGAGTACCGTTACAGCTAGGTTGATGAAATTTCATATATAAGTATTTTATCAAAATCGTAGATCCGTATCAACTTTTGAGCGATTTCCGATAACCGGAAGTGGTACTTTTCCTACTTTGAATTTTTTAAAAGCCTATAACTTGAGTACTATTTCAGATAGATAAATGAAATTTCACATGTAAGTAAAAGATCTAATTCTCTACCTTCTGTTAAATTTTGAGTAATTTCCGTTGACTGGAAGTAGTAATTTACGCTACTTCCGATTTCTCAAAAAACTAATGTAAATTTTTAAAGTACTAATAATATTGCGCACTATTATACGCGATTTTATTCGGCGTTTGCTTGGTGCGCAATGTTTTTTTTATGAGATTCTATTCTATTTTTAAAAGTTTAAGTATTTAAAATGGATTAAAAATCATAACTATATCCCCAGTTACCATCCCCTGTTGTTTTATATAAGAATATTCGAGAAAGTTTAGGGGAGATCACTACCGGTTTATTTAAAATAATGTTTATGAAAAAAAATTCTGTCTCTGTCGAATAATGAGAGGCGGGCACATACGAATCGTTCAGCGGGCGCCATGGCGCCCGCGGGCACAGGGTTGGGAACCCCTGCCCTACACGAAGGCAAAAATATGAACGTAGACTATCCCAAAATAAGAGAAATGATGTTATAACTAGTTTAGAATGCATTCGTTTATATAGTTGAAACATTTATCTTTTATTCCGTGGAATCGCTTTTGGTTTATCAGTATCAAAAGCAATAATGAATCGTCTTGATCGTGTTCAAAATGCTATTAAATTATTTTATTATGGTTTTTTAAACAATTAATATGCAATGTTTACAATGCTTCTGAGGTTGGGTTACATTCTTTGTTTGTAAAAAGATTTTTTGTAAAGTGTTTTCGCTTATTGTCTTAAAATTTTATCAGCATCTACCAAACTTCCCAAACAATTCTCACCTACCAACCTCCCCACACACTTCACCTACCAACCTCCCCACACACTTCTCCTCACCAACCTCCGCACACACTTCACCTACCAACCTCCACACACACTTCTCCTCACATACCAACCTCCCCACACACTTCTCCTCACCTACCAGCCTCCCCACACACTTCTCACCTAGAAACCTCCCCACACACTTCTCCTCACCTACCAATCTCCCCACACACTTCTCCTCATCTACCAACCTCCCCACATACTTCTCCTCACCTACCAACCTCCCCACACACTCCTCACTTACTAACCTCCCCACACACTTCTCATCTACCAACCTCTCCACACACTCCTCACTTACTAACCTCCCCACACACTTCTCCTCACCAACAACCTCCCCACACATACCAACCTCCCTACACACTTCTCCTCACCTACCAACCTCCCCACATACTTCTCCTCACCTACCAACCTCCCCACACACTCCTCACTTACTAACCTCCCCACACACTTCTCATCTACCAACCTCTCCACACACTCCTCACTAACCTCCCCACACACTTCTCCTCACCAACAACCTCCCCACACTTTTGCTCACCTACTAACCTCCCCACAATTCTCCTCACCTACCAACCTCCCCACACACTTCTCACCTACCAATCTTCCCACACACTTCTCCTCACTTACCTCACCACAATTCTCCTCACCTACCAACCTCCCCACACACTTCTGTTCACCTACCAACCTCCCCACACACTTCTCCTCACCTACCAGCCTCCCCACACACTTCTCCTCACCTACCAACCTCCCCACACCAAACTCTCACATCGTAACTTCTAATCACAACCCAATACATTACAAAAACCAACACCATAATTAAACGAACTTTCTATTTGATCTCCCTCCATGATTGCATGATTGATGATTCAAGCGCTTTGATTGTAAGATCACAATACGACCGCGCATCGATTGGGACAAATCCCCTGACCCCCAGAGACAAATCGATGAAGAAATCGATCGACCGACACTGTCAGGACCAAATGATAATGCAGACGACACAGAAATTCCATTAGGTCACAGTTCCACTTTTCTTGTGGCCTGTTGTTGTTGTTGGCCCGTCGTAGAGTGGGACAACTTGTGTGACCTAAGTGTCCACGGCCCGGCCCAGGGGGGGGGGGGGGGGCACTTAAACCCTGGCCCGCTAACAGGTGGGCCACGTTAAACCCTGGCTTACCGAGGGGGGGGGGGGGAGTAGGCACGTTGAACCCTGGCCCGCTAACAGGGGGGGGGGGGTGCACGTTCAACCCTGGCCCGCTAACAGAGGGGGGGGGCACGTTGAACCCTGGCCCGCTAACAGGGGGGGGCACGTTCAACCCTGGCCCGCTAACAAAGGGGGGGGTGCACGTTCAACCCTTGCCCGCTAACCGGGGGGAGGGCACGTTGAACTGTGGCCCGCTAACAAGTGGGCCACGTTAAACCCTGGCCTGCCGGGGGGGTGGGCCACGTTGAAAACCGTGAGCCTATACCGACTGCTGGAACCCTACGGAACCAACTGAACCAGTAGTTAGGAATTTTTTTCCGGAGAGGAAAAAAGAAAAGGGGGGGGGGGGTAGATTGTCCATAAATGATGTCATACTATTTTAGCAGATTTTACCAACCCTCCCCCCCCATCCACACCTTATATTTTTATATGGTCATACATTGCCAGACCAACCAACCCATGTGAACCCAGACGGGGGTCAACCAGTCACGTGACTCGGTGCTCCGGATGTAGTTACTTGACCTTTAATCATATTTTTACTGTTCACTTTTTTCTCCTTTAATAGTAGATTTCCTCTGGATCTTAAGGTCTTATACACAAAAGAGAAATGACTTTGGTGGTACTTTGTACCAGTCTCAACACAGATTTCCGTAACAAACATTGGTACCAGTTCCAACACAATATTTCTGAGAAGACAAATACGACACGTAACGCATAGCAGTGGCGTCACTAGATGGGGTGTCACCAGGGGCAGCAACCCACCACTGTCAACCCTAACATTGCGGCCCCAGCCCGTCATGCTTCAAATATGTTTTTAACTATCTTCTTTCTTCTTCTTCGTTCTTAATTTTAGTTTTGGAAGGCGTCCCCTCCAACTAAATTAAGTATTTCAGCCTAATTTTTTTTTTGGATTTGCTTCCATAGCCTTTGTCCAACCAAGAACAAACTACAAGGCAGCAGTTGTTTTGATTTTTGAGTTGTCTCTCATAGAAGAGTGACTGTCCCCAGGGTTCGAACTCGAGACTTTTCGGTTTAGCAACCACGAGCTTTACCGACTCGACCACCCCTGTTTTTAACTTTAACTTGTTCCTAATCCCAACGTAAACAGTTTTATTTCTCTACTAGCTATAAAACCTGTCGCAATGCAGACAAACAAATTAATTTGTTTTGTTGGATATTCATGTCTGGGTCAACTTTTAAGCATAACATTTTCATGGGAAACATCTGGCGTGTTAAAGAAACATAAATGTTTAAATATGAAAAATTATTTTTGGTCAATTATTTACTCATTATCTCATCATCATTATCCAATCTGTTTTGTGCCCATGACATATAGGCCGGCATAAAAAGCTCCCTCCACTTTTGCCGGTCTTCGGCTATTTTCTTGGCAGTGACCCAATAAAGTCCGGCACTTTTGTACGTCCATTTTTTCACCTACCCCAGTCAACATTTCTACTGTATCTAAATGGTGTTTTACATCTCTATTAATCAAGTTCCATTACAGTCTTCGTTATGTATTAAGAATTCCTAATAGCACAATCAGACAACCTACTTTTAAACGTAGTTTATGTAGTGGCATTCTTAAAATTAAACAGGACAATTTAACGCAACTTCGTTATTAGCATCATCAATAGAATCATCAGTTAGATTAAATAACTTCCTTTACATAAACCCTACACTTGTTGATAGATGGAGCGTAGGATAGAGAACACACTTCGCTAGCAGAACTGGTTGGTGGACCGACTTGTTTTCCTGATAACTTTTGGCAACCCCTTAATGGCATGTTAACACTTGGCCAAAAAAAGGTCGCTTTAAGGAAAATAATGGACAACTCATAA